CTCCCTCGACCTGCTGGCCACGCTTCTCCCAGTGCAGCCCAGAGTACGGTTGGCCTTCTGGGCTGCCAGCGCACATTGCCGGCTCATGTCCAGCTTTTCATCCACCAGCACCCCCAAGTCCCTCTCAGCAGGGCTGCTCTCAATCCTTTCTTCCCCCAGCCTGTACTGATACTGGTGGAATGCATTGGATATGTCCGCTCCCTCTTAATGTCACTCCTTGTATTTGCTGCTGGCTCTCCTCACTGGTTCTCTGGAGCTCCAGCATTTCCTAATTCTTTAATTAATTTCTTTGAGGAAGGGAAGCTCTTCTATATTGTCTGCCAAGCTGGACTTAACCTGGGATGTTTGGAAATCTTTCGATACTTTTCTGCCTCTTATTTCTCACATGAAAAAACTTGACCTATCTTAACACATCTGGTTTTATCCTTCGTATCCTGGCTGACTTCTCCACCACTGCAAAATACGGTCAGATTCTGTACAGGGACCTGCTGGATGCTGTAGCTGTTAAACAGACTTTGTTCTCTTCCCACCCTTCTTGTTCACAGATGGTTTTCGATTACTATTCAGACTACTCAATGCTATTAATCAACACCATTTGAGATTAATCAAATGGATGGATGAAGACTAATCACTCACCAGTTTAACAGTAAAGCATGCCATCAGATGCTCTAGACCTAACTGTGACTGGGGTCCAGCTTAACCATACTGCAGCTGGAACCAAAGTAAAGGTGTGTTTCTCCCCTGTAAGGGATTTTCTATATTGCTGCATTGCCAGTGCATGGTTGGAAGTGCTTTGTGGCCAGTCAGTGCTACATTGCTCCTTTGCGGGTGCCAGGTGTCTGCCAGGAGCACAGTGATGCTTTTCCAGCAGCAGCTGTAGGATTTGGTACAGGGCATCGCAAACGGGGTACTGGGCATGAACCCCATCAGGTCTGAGATGCAGAGGGAAGGGGTTCTCTTCTAGCTCAGCCACAACACAGGTTGGGAAAAACAGCTCATGCAGCTCCCAGAAGGCAGATCCCACCCCAACCATGGGGGAAACCGTGCCCATGACAGCAAGAGAAACCACAGCTTCCATACAGAGATGGGGGGACTGTGGCTAGTGACATGTCATAGAATCATAGAATTGTTTAGGTTGGAAAAGACCTTTAAGATCATCAAGCCCAACTATTAACCTAACCCTGCCATCCCACCACTAAACCATGTCCTTAAGCATCTTGCCTGCCCTCCAGGGATGGGCACTCGACCACTTCCCTGGGCAGCCCCTTCCAGTGCTTGACAACCCTTTCGGTGAAAAAAATTTTCCCAATGTCCAACCTAAACCTGCCCTGGTGCACCTTGAGGCCATTTCCCCTCGTCCTATCATCAAGGAGCCAAGGCTGGCAGGCAGGGGTGGCCGAGGCAGATAGCAATGCCATCCAAAAATCCATTCTGAACATCAGGTGCTTTCAGTTCCAGAATAGTGCAGGGTACAGTCTAGAAACGACCACTTCAGTCTCCAGTGAAGTAAGTGACTTGCAACACCACAAGCTATTAGCATTCCTTTTTGGTGCTATACCTTAAAATAATCTCCTCTAATTGTAAAGGCCACATCCGTCCATTTCATGATAGAAAAATCTCTACAAATGAACAGAAGGGACTAAAAGAAATGCTCAGAAGCCAGAGATTAAATAGGTTTAATTGCAAAGGTCACATTTCCATATTCCAAATGGTCACTTTGCTGCCATTTCTCCTGCCCTGGCTTTCAGAAAAAATATATATCCCAAGTATCTCACTCCATTGGGCTGCTTGCAAATCTCAGTTACAGCATATAGCAAACAAGGCAGTGGGCCAAGCCCCGTTGTGGTGTACAGAGCCTGAATCCTGCTCAGACAAATGAGCTTCTTCATACAGGAGCTTAATTTGGCCCAGGAAGAGGGAAGCTGGGTCAGACTGGCAGGATTGGTCTCCTGCATGAAAAATGTAAAGTAAGCCAATTTTTACAGAAAAATGTTTTATCATAATACTGGAAACTCAAACATAAACAGTTTGAGTAAACTTTTTCAGTTTTCAACCAACTACAAAACTTTTTTGCTGCGGGGGTCTGGGTCTTTTTCCCAAGCGAAAGCCCTTTTTTGCCATAAGAAACGGTGTTTTTCCATCAAAAATGCACTGAGCTAAAAACTCACTTTTTTTAGTGCATAAACTTTTCCCACTGAATTGTTATTTTTTTGGCCAGCTAAAAATGAAGGCCTCGGTCCCTTCTCAGTCCTTATGTTAAACACCGGCTTGCACGAAGCTGAACCTACTGGCAGTGAGGACTGCAGCCTGGGGATCAAGGAGAAAATGGAGATTCCCGAAAATTTGCTCGGCTGCTGTGGTGGGAGGTTTCCAGGGATGTCAGCTACTCACAATCTTTCCGCGTGGCTGCGTCGGGAAGCGCCGGGGCGAGGCTGAGGGTGCTTGAGACGCTGGTGCTCGCGCTGTCCAGGCTGCTGCCGAGGTGTAACCGTCTCATGTGTCGCACGACTGCTGTGGCGTTGAACGCTTGCTGGAGCAAAAAAACAAGAAAGAAAGAAAGAATAAAAAAAAATGGAGGTGGAAGGGTTACTTCTGCTCCTCTCCTGGCTGCTCAGAGTTGTGAGAAGTGAATGAGACCATCAGCTTTCCAACTTTTCCCTCTTTCCAGTTTCTAGGCTAGAAACAGCAATATCAAACCATACACAATTCTGCCCTGGTCCCGCTCCCTGTCATTCCTTCTAGCACTCAGTTGGGATGCGGCAGCCTACAAGGAAAGTCATATTTGACGCATCCTTCTCTGCACCAACACACTGGGTGTCAGCTTTACTGTCCCCCCACAGTGCTGACCCAACCCTGCATGTGACCGCTGGTGCTGTAGCTAAGAGCAGCCCCAGCCCCATCTCTCACACTCATTTCCTTTATACACTTGGTTAGTAGCATCCTCCTTAAAAGGCCCCACAAGACCACGTAACCTAAGACTGGACCAACTATTTTGACCAAAATTTTGTGCCACAAAAGCGCTAACATGCTGAAAGGGTGGCTGTATGGCCACCGTGTTAGCAGAGTTATTTGTCTAAGTGTTGTCCCTGAGGTTGGGAGGTTACCAGCCTGAGGTTGGCAAATGTGACGCCCATTTACAAGGAGGGCTGGAGGGAGAATCTGGGGAACTACAGGTCTGTCAGTCTGACCTCGGTGCTAGGGAAGGTCATGGAGCAGATCATCTTGAGTGCCATCACACAGCATGCCCAGGACAACCAGAAGATCAGGCCCTGTCAACATGGGTTTATGAAAGGCAGATCCTGCTAGAATAACCTGATCTCCTTCTATGACAAGGTGACCCACTTAGTGGATGAGGGAAATGCTGTGGATGTTGTCTACCTCGACTTTAGTAAAGCCTTTGACACTGTTTCCCACAGCATTCTCCTGGAGAAACTGGCTGATCATGGCTTGGATGGGTGTACACTTGGCTGGATAAAAATATGGCTGGATGGCTGTGCCCAAAGAATGGTGGTGAATGGAGTTAGATCCAGTCAGTGGCTGGTCACAAGCTCGGTGTTGGGGCCAGTTCTGTTCAACATCTTTATCAATGATCTGGATGAGGGGATTGAGTGCCCAACTGTATGAGGTTCAACAAGGCCAAGTGCTGGGTCCTGCACTTGGGTCACAACAACCCGATGCAACATTACAGGCATGGGGATGAGTGGCTGGAAAACTGCTTGGCAGAGAGGGATCTGGGGGTACTGGTCAACAGCCGGCTGAATATAAGCCAGCAGTGTGCCCAGGTGTACAGGAGGGCCAACAGCATCCTGGCTTGTATCAGGAATAGTGTGGCCAGCAGGACCAGGAGAGTCATCTTCCTCCTGTACTTGGCACTGGTGAGGCCCCACCTCGAATGCTGGGTTCAGTTTTGGGCCCCTCACTACAGGAAAGATGTTGCATTGCTGGAACATGTCCAGAGGAGAGCAACAAAGCTGGTGAGGGGTCTGAAGCCCAAGGCTGATGGGGAGCAGCTGAGGGCACTGGGGGTGTTCAGCCTGGAGAAGAGGAGGCTGAGGGGAGACCTTATCGCTCTCTACAACTGCCTGACAGGAGGGGGTAGTGAGGTGGGTGTTGGTCTCTTTTCCCAAGTAACAAGTGATGGAATGAGAGGAAATGGCCTCACGTTGTGCCAGGGCAGGTTTAGATTGGATATTAGGAAAAATTTCTTAACCGAAAGAGTTCCCAAGCACTGGAATGGGCTGCCCAGGGAGGTGGTTGAGTCCCCATTCCTAGAGGTATTTAAAAGACAAGTAGATGAGGTGTTTAGTTAGAGACATGGTTTAGTAGTGGACAGGTACGGTTGGACTTGATGATCTTAAAGGTCTTTTCCAACCAAATGATTCTATGATTCTATGACGGATCACTTACTCTCCATTTGCTTTTTGCAAAGTTCTTCCGGATCTGAGCGCTGACTGACTCATGGATGTTTTTGTTGAGTGCTGTATCACCAGCGATCCTGAAACGGACAGAGAAGACAAATTTTAAGACATCTTTTGTTCTCCTCGGATAGTCTTTCTTCTCTTCAACAGAGAAGACTGGTCCAAGGTGATTGCTCCTGCAGTGATGATGATTTCATTCACACAAGGGCTCAAACTTCCCACTTCTGTCTCTGCTGGCACCAGTGGTGGAAAATCTGGGGCAATAAAAGCAAGCGTAGATAAGGCTTGTAGGTCTGGCAGCTACAAAGAGGTACGACCTTATTTTGTTGGTGCACGGCTGCTTTCTATCACCGTTACAGCCCTAGATGAAAACATTCTACCTTTTTTTTTCTTTACATCTAAAGATTTAACATCAACAGGCTGAAACTACTTTTAGCCTCAACCATGCAGGAACTTCCAGAGCCACTCCAACCTGTCTGATTTCTGTTTGCACTGGAGATTTTCCTGCCACCCTGCAACATACATAGCCATTCATCATGATTAATGTAGATTTACAGTAAAGCAGATACATGGATGCTCACTGAAGCAGCCCAGGCTGCACAAATAGCTTAAGCTGAACAACACAACCTAAAAACTTGACAGATGTTGTGCAGTTTCTTTTAACAGATAAAGACACATTCAATCTCCACTAAACACAATTATTTCAAGGGAATTTCATTGATTCATTTAACTCCTCGAGGCATGAGATCTGTTGGAATAGTAGGCACCATAGTGAACTGATGTTGGACCATGTGCTGGGGTAATTAGTGCTATCTAATGTACATGATGCCAGGAAGCACAGATTGCCTCCTATGTTGTATCTGATGTTTTCAGAAATCCATTTTTTAGCTACAGTGTAGAAAACCAATGTGCATTAGCAATAAAAAAAATATTAAAAAATGAATAATCCATCAGGCCCAGAGCTTCCCAGTCTGGGGACCTCAAATAAAATAATCAGAGGGGCTGGGGGACTCCAGCAGTCATCTAGTCCCATGCCAGCTCTGTCAAAATAATTTTGACAGATATTTGGCTAACCAGTCCTTAAAGATCTCCAAAAGATGGAGACTCCTCAGACAACCTATTCCAGTCCCCCACTGTATCCCAGAAGACAGAAAATTGTTTACTCCCTTTGTCTTTGAAGCATTCTTTCACATATTTGAAGACTGTTATCATGTCTTCTCTCCATTTTCTCTTCTCTAGACTAAACAAACTGATTCTTTCACTGTTTCTTCATAACTCATATTTTCTAATCCTCTGATCTAGTGAGCTTCTCTGGACTTTCTCCAACCAGTCCACATCTTCCTTACAGGGTGGTACCCGAACTGTTCGCTGTTTTCCAACTAAGGCAGCAGAATGGCAGCATTGCTTTGTGTTTCTTGAAAGATGAAACTCTGCTTACAAACCCCAGCCTGCTGTTTCCATTTATGTGTCCCATGAATTGGAGACATTCCTTTCATTTTGCCCAGACCATTCCAAACTGTAACCCTGTTCTTCAAAGGACACGCAGCTTTTTTTACCTTTGTGTCAATGGCACATCTAAGAAGTGTTCTTTGGGACCAGTCTTCTCCAAATTGCTCCCCTCCTTCCTGCTGGCAACACTCACCCAGGATGTCAGAGAGATGAGAGGAACAACTTACTCTTGGGAGGAAGGTGAGGGACTAACCCCCATCTCCCAAGAGTGGAAAGCCGCCAAACCCATCATGTTGCAACTGAGCTAATCTATATTGAGTTATTCAAGAGTACCAAAGCCAGCAAGACTGTGGGCAGGAAGGAGCAGGGTTCCCATTCAGGGTAGCCCACCTCCAACTGGGAAGGGCACTTGTCTAACTGCTAATGCCGTATAACTTTTATCTCAAGTAGACAGAAGAATTGATACCATGAGAAAAGTGTGGCTCCCAAATGGCCCCTGACATCCTCTCTTGGGTCCCTATGCTGTTGTTGGAGAAGGGGAGGTGTTTGACTGAGAACTGGAAGATCTTCAGACCTTCCTCTGAAGAGGATTCCTTCTGATCACCTCTCCCACTGACAGGGAGGCAAGCTGGTCTGGATTTCCCACTGGGGCCAGACAGCTAAAAGCTTGGTGTGTCAGTATCTAGGTTAAGGATCATGTTCACTGTTCCATCCTCTGTCCCTCACTGGGAATATTGCAAGGCCCAGCACAGACCCTGATGGATCCAATGCAGCATATACTCCCGGATGGATACAAAGCCCAGCTGGCCTTGCACCCACCATAACAGTGCATTTTCTGTATTTCTCTACCATGAAATCATCATGTGAAGTAGCTCCTACAGCTTTACCACAGCCACACCTACATGACCCAAATAACATGACACAGAGTGTCCCTAATTGCTTCCAGGTTACCTCTATGAAGAGCTGACCAGAAGCCTGAGAAGACTCCAGCTGTACGGCCTGCCCTACATGGCTTGTTAGCTCCGGGGCATGAGTGTGTGCAGATTCGTGTCCACTCTCCTCGCACACTGCTCAGCCTTTTTGTGCAGATGGGCCCTAGCAGAGTTTCCCAGTGGGAATGCAACCTGCTAGTCAGAGTCGCTCCAAAAAAAAAGTGGGTCCAAGAACACCTCCTTGGTTGAAGTCAGGTGCCCTCAACATGCACCAGCTGGGAGCACTGACCCTCATACTACAGATCTGCAGACGAAAAATAAGCTGAACATTTAATATGTGAACAGCCACAAGCCAAAATATCTGTTCAGTAACTGATCAAAAAGACTGAGCTGCAAAGAGAAAATTTACATTTGCAAAGAACGTTTTTTTCCAAAGCTAATGAAGCATTTTGCTTTATGAACAAGTTTGGTAACAAGCTGTATGAGGACAGATCATGTTTCCCGCTTGTCAAATTTTATTTTGGAAACACGGACAGAACAAGTTCTTGGGGTATGATACCTTTGCCAACTCTTCCAGTCTCCACAAGGACTTGCAAATGCATTTCTGCTATATGAAACTTCGTCGGGCGTGTAGCTGAAACACAGGCTGTATATTTTTTTGAGTTTAGGGATCATTTTTCCGAAATGCTGGTGGTTTCAATAAGAAACTGCTGCTTCCAATAGTTCACAAAATGTCTTCTGCCACCACTAACTCTATGTTCACTATGCAATTCTGGTAATTCCAGAAAAAAAGTCTTGGTATTTGGGTGTTTCCCAAATAGGCAGAATAGTACTTGTTTACTTCAGAAGGGGGTGGACAGACACACTACAGAGGTGGGGATCATCCCACATCTATGGTCCCTTCAGCAGCATTAGCACCTTGCAGATACTAGTTTTTAATCAGAACAAAATAACAGCAGTGCTGGGGCTAATTTAGCATGGTGGGATCCGTTCAAACACGTGCTGGTATGCCGAAGAGTGTGGCTCAAAATGCAGCCCTGGCTGCCAAAGCTGGGTGTGGGATCATTCCCCACGCCGCCCCTGAAGAACTATCCTGTTAACAGTGCAATGCTGTAACATGAAGGCGGTGCTTTTATACTGTACTTGGAGGATCTTGAAACTTTTATAAAACACTCGTGGTGTTATAGTGTTTATAGTATAGTTTTACTTCTAGGAAAACAGGAGAAATGTTAACGTCCATTCACTGCTGGCATTTTGCTGGAGATGTGGTGGTTTAAGGATGCAGGGAAGAGAGGGGGAGGTGAGCAGGTAGAAGTCATATCTTTTATACAATCAACTGGTAGAGGTTGAAAAATGAGATAAGCTTTCGGGCTCACAAACCTACCCCGAGGTGTGTACCATGAGCATCATCACATCTATATTGAATGTATCTCATCACAAACCTCAGTTCCCATGCTGAGAAGGTAATGCATGAAATTTAATAGAGGTACTGGTTTTAGAGCACATTATCATTGCCCTTCCACCTTTCCCTAACTCTCCAAGTCCACAGGCTATAAACCATCTTGCTTTTCCTTTTAGGACAAGAATACTTTAGCAACTTTCTTCCTCCCTCCCCTGCACAAGATACCCTTCTCACAGAATGGCAAGGGTTGGAAGCAACCTCGGGAGATCACCCAGGCCAACCCCCCTGCTAAAGCAGGTTCTCCTAGAGCAGGTTGCACAGGACATCATCTAGGCAGGCTTTGAATATCTCCAGAGAAGGAGACACCACAGCCCCCCTGGGCAGCCTGTTCCAGTGCTCTGTCACCCTCAGAGTAAAGAAGTTTTTCCTCATATCCAACTGAAGCCTCTTATGTCTCAGTTTGTGCCCATTGCCCTTTGTCCTGTCGCTGGACACCACATTCTCCTATGGGAATCAGCTCCATTTTCCCTGAGAAACAACCATCTTCTATTTCAAATATGATCAAACTGATGCATATTTAGTGAAACCCTCAGCAATAGCTCTGGGCTTTGCAGTTAACTTTGAATTTAACTATGTCAGCATTGATGCTTGTTGTTATCAACTATACCAGTTGTCCCAGTAAAAGATAGTAATTCTACCTACTACACCCATATATAAAAAAAAAATAAAAAATTAAACAAAGCAGAACAATACATGGTCTGCTATGATGCTGAGCATCACCCAGAAGTGAGCAAGGACTGATTAGTCCAACTGGAACCTGGCTTTTCTCTCTGGGACCCTGCTTTTGCAGCACCTGAAGGCAGCTTCATCCTAACAATGGTTTGGGGAACTTTGTGTTGAAGCTGGTCTTATATCCAGTTGTAAATATGTGAGTGTCTCAACACACAGAAGTGGATACCAAGGGCCACAATCTGATGACTATCCATCACAAATACTTCCAGTGAAGCTAAGAAGGGTATTTCTCATGAATAACCATAACGGTTCTAACCCTACACATGAGAAGAATATAAACTAATGATCAAATATTATTTCATAGTATCTAATTTATATTAGCTCTCCATCTGGGTTCAAAGCTATTGCAGCAATTTATCTGGCCATACCACTTCTAAGCTTTGAGAGGAACCTCCAACAAAGACAAACCCAGTAAATTTCCATTTGGACGATTCTTCGTTAGCACACTGCAAGCATATGTGTCTCGCATCCTCCCTGCCCATGATGGCAGGCAGAGTCTTTC